TCACTATTACATGTTATAACTTTTGCTTTTGGATCTACATTAACACAATGTGCTTCAATATATTTAACACGTGGTCCAATAAGTGAACGAATTGATTCAATGACTGTTCGAGTTTCAACTGTACCAACACTAACAGATGGTAATAATGGTGTCATTAAAAAATAATTACGTGGTGATACACAAACAACTTCATATTTTTGAGTATCAATATGTTTTAAAAGTGGTACAGCACCCCAACCTGTATAGAACTATTAAAATAAATAAAAGTAATTAAATTAATATTTCACCTGTTCCAAGTACAATAACACGTGGTTTAGCACCAATAGTCTTATCAGAATCACTCATTTCATTAAACCATCGATAATGACGATAACTACGATAACCGTAAAATGTACCGAGACCAACAACGGTAATAATGAAAAAATTTTTTAAACGTCGTTTTAATTTTCCACCTAATTTAATAGAACCGTTTTTGAATCCAACATCATAGATTCAATATCTTAGAAATTATACAATACGAGTCTTTTAGGAAACACTGATTAGTTTAAATAAGTGTGCATCTTTTTTCTGTAATATACCATATGACATTTTTTAGAATGAACTTTTTTTTTTGAATCATATGCATCATATTTAGAGATACGATAACTGCCAATAGTATTCAACAAAGATTATTTTCAATTTTCTTCTATTGCGGTGGACGCTAGAAAGAGTTCAAATAGTGATTCGAATAGAAAAAATGATTTTTCAACAAGAATATGAAGCAAGAAAAATTATCATCATATTCACAAAGATAGAGATTTTAGAAAATCAAAAACCTAGTTTTTCAACATCTAGAATACGTTAATTTAATTTTGTTTAGACTGCATAGAACAATAGAGTAAACTTTTTTGCAACATTTTTTAGCTGAGATACAGTAATCTTATGCAAGCTCATAAAGTCAGTTTTTTCAATTTCCGATAGCAAAAGCATTTTTTGACCTTGAATCGAATTACTCTATCTAAGTCATAAAACATCGTGAAGCACTCGATGATGTCTCATTTTGCAGAAAATGGTTTTTATTTCTATGTATTCTTGTTTCAAATCATTTTCTCCATAGGAGTCCCTATAGGAATCCTTTTTAACGCTTACGACAATGAAGAAAGATTGAAAATAAACAATTACAGGATTCACTGTAAATACTAGCGCCCGTCGGACTGAAAATTTTTGGACCTAGTCGAACTATACTTTGATACTCTCAATAACATTTTCTAATCGAAATCGGATATTCTCTCCGAAGATACGACATAGTTCTTTCTGGTTTCTTTATATTCGTTAATTAGAATATCATATAAAATTTTCAGACGAGTAGAGCCGGTCGAGTTCAAAATTTTTGGACTTACTTGGGTTCGGAACTAACCTGAGAAGCTGTAGTATATACAAAACTTTGCAAAAAAATTTTAAAACTTTCAGAAAAATTTTTTATTCACTTTTTTTTTATAGATAGAAAAATTCTATACAGTTAGATTTTTGAAAATTTCTCACGAACCAAAAGTTTCCTTGCGTGATTGTTCAGAAAACCAAGCAAGATTTCGATTAATAATAGGTTTTATTTGATTTAATTGTTTAAATGATAGATTTCGACGTGAATTTATTGTTGTTAATTGTTGAAGAAATTGTGTTGATCGAGAAAACATAATTAATTTTGAGAAAAATTCAGATCTTTGTTTTAATACGATGGGATTTTATTTGACGCAAATAAATCAAGAAAAAAAAGATATTGAATACTTGATATTTTCTATTTGTCTATATTTACTTCAATCAAAATACAAGTTCACCGCCATCTTTTGAAAAATGCAAAAGAAAATATATGAATGGTTAATTACATTGATTTATATGCTTCCATAAAAAAAATTTCTATACAATCAACTAGTAACTTAGAGGCCAATGTTATGGTCAAATATAGCCAAGTTGGTTAGAGTATTAAAACAACGTATATGTTCATGTTCGAATCTATCTTCTAGAGTATGTTACTCAATGATGATTTTGAAATGTTTGATCAACTTAATGAAACATTTTCAATAATTATCTGCCTTTCTTGGACTGAGAGTAACAATAATATTTGATTCTTTTTTTGAAAAGAATTTATTTATTGATAGAGAATAAAAAAAAACAACTTTTGTAGACGATAAATATTATTAAAAAAATTCTATCTACAAAATATCCTTGTCTATATAAATTGACATGAACTTGCAAAATATTTTCTATTAAGAATGTTCAATTTTTTTTCCGTAGTAATTTTTAATTACGAAAACAGATATTAAAAAAATTTTATTTTTAGCTATTAAATTATTATTAAAAATAATTTAATATGAAATTTAGTTGCTTCATATTTTATGGAATCTTGTTGACAAGAAATACAAACATTTGATGAAATACAAATGATTCTATTTATCCTTTTGTAGTGTGTCCAGTTTCATAGAATTCTATTAATCTTCATTTATTTTACAAGGTCTTTAAAAAAAAAATCATCTTCGAGATAAATCTCGTGAAGAAAAAACTTATTTATTTTCATCTCTATTCAGATGAAATTTCTAGTCAAATCGAATAATGACTGTATAATGTAGTAGTATCGATGTTCGAATCTACCTTCGAGACTAGAGTCAGGGATGTCTCTTCATTAATGGCACATAACTGTTCATGCTCTCGATATATTATATATTATCAACAATTGATAACCAAACATTCGAAGATCAATATTCATCGAATGATTTATCTTAAATTGTTGAACAAACATCTATATTTTATTATTTAAAATATCAAAAACAAAAAAAAAACACCTACAGAGATACCGAAGATATTTTTTAAAAAAGAAATTGTAACACTTATTGATATGATATAATAAGTTTATTGATGGTAAATACGAGAGTTTCAAAGATATAATAAATAAAATATAAAATCATCTTAGCTATGTATTAAATCAAACACGACTAACTGAGGTTCGTGCGAGTCCTAGCTAGTCTCACCACATTATTATAAGTATACAATAGTAAATAGAACCGTTCGTCATCCAGATATGCTCTAGTGAAAATTAGTAGAGTATGCTGATAATATTTGCTAGCTACATTCAACTATTATTCATGTAAGTAAACCATCTTGAAGGATATATCAATGCTTGTTGTCTACATTGGGCTCCCTTAGACTCCAGAAAAATTCATTGCTATATGAAGCATTCATAACATTTATTGTTACCATGTGCTTTAGCTATACGTTCGGATTACTTACGAGGTAATCTCTTTAAGTGCTCTCTGCCGATACCAGTACTTTTTGCCTATAGATACTATATAGAATTCTTCAAAAATGCGAGTTGCTATCGAGTTTTTAGTATGTCTATAGTTTGGGATCTAGATTTTTGGAAAAATCATATTGTCGAGTTTTGATTTGAAAATTTGTGCATATAGAGAACTCAAACGAATGTATTTTCCATCGAAAAAAATCCGTAATTTTTTTAAAAATCTGTTCAAAAACTTCTGGTTGTTTTTTAGAAAGTTAACCTAATTGAGCTCTCTATATTGATAAAGTTTCAAATCAAAATTTGAAACTACGAGTTTTCTGAAGTTCTCTAGAAAATAGACATATTGCAAAGTCAATAGCTTAGTTAAAGCTCAATAGGAACTAACATCCTTTTAGAGTTCTATGTAGTATCTATAGGCAAAGAATCATTGAAATCGGTAAGAGACAGGTGCAGAAATTCCCTGGTTAGTACAGTAGATTGATAATATCTATCAATCATACGTAATTGTTCGTCTTATGCAAAACACTTATAAATATATGTGAATACTGAATAACGATGCTATTTTGCTGTTTATTCTTCTTGAAATCAAGTCTTCACAGATCCATGATAAACTAGTCATAATTTCGTTTATTATATTTATTTTATCAAACAGGATCTACAGAGATCTCAAGTAAACAATAAGTGATAGTTCGGAACTGATTCGTGTTACGGTTCATTGATTTTATGAATTATACAAGCTATTTTGTCGATAAAAGAATAATCTTGTAGTCAAATATAATAATCAAACAAATGATCTTTTTTGTGCACACTAGATTTTATTTTATGGTTAACAATTCAAATCAGAATGTTTATATTGTTGGACGAAGTATAAAATCTTGATTTACTATAGATTTGATTCTTATTTATCTTGACTAAGCAGTGAAAATTGTTAGTAATGTAAACAAATATATTTTACAGCATTGTACAGTATTATTAGCAAAAATTTGTCTGAGCATCAAAGTAGAAATTATCATTTATCGTTCTTTTAAACATGCCTCTTTTATCTGATTTACTCAATTAATGTGAAAGTATATGATTTTATGGTATTTCTGATGTTTGAAATTACTAGTGTAAAAAACAGAAACCAAAACAGTTGATTATTGAAACGCAGGTGACACTATTAGCAAAAATGGTACGGAATAGTGTGATGGTGTTCTTCTCGCTCTCATCTACTCACATCTGCACTCAAAAAAACAACAACAGATGTGAAACATTTGCATAAATCAAGGTACTTTGTTCAACAGGATTATTTCCGTTTTTTTTAACTTGGTTCTTTATAAAAAGAAACCATTTTTCTTTCTTATGAATTTAAATTCTATAAATGACAAAAAAATATTGATTCCGTTATCGTTCACTAAACAATAATTTGTACTATTTCAACGTTTGAATACGTCAACATTTTTAACTTTTAATATATTTTTGCATTTGGGCATACTTGTATTCCGACATTTTTATTGATTGGCATTTAAATTGTTTGACATTTTTCTATTCGATCAGAATAGAAGTTATCTTTCACCTATCTATTATGAGTATGGAACTATAAATAATCGATTCAATACTTTTTGTGCGCTTAAAAACAAAACAACAATAGGATTTTTGACTTAATATAAATAAATTTTTCTCAATATCAAATGGCGCTTAAACTATAATAGTTATTTGTCATTTAAATTTCTTTTTTTTTGTCTCAGTTATGTTATTGTTTTATCTAATTTTTTTCTTATTCTCGAATCGAATTCATGCAAGAAATGATAGTACGGAATTTATACCAAAACTTGAAGATTTATATCCATTACCTAATAATGATCAAATCGAAATAATTGCTGCTCAATTTCATCAAAATCCGAATTGGGAACAAGGAAATATGCCTATGTCATTAACTGAAGTTGAAGAAACAACACCAAATCAACCTATATCTCGAGAACCGCAAAACAGACCAGGAATATATAAAACAGGTCATAATTATCGTCCTGGAGAAATGCATCCATATCGTATTGATCATTATGGTGTTCATCCTCATTCGAAACATCATATATTTTTCGTTCGACATGGTAAATTGAAATAAATAAAACACTAATAGACAGAAAAAAAAGGATTTTTGTTTTATTATTTGTTTAATTCTTCAGGAGTATATTTCTATACAGAAGATGAACCAAATGCACATTTACTTCGTTATGGAAAATATCAAGCTCGTATGGCAGGTTATAAAATCAATCAAATAATACATGGATTAATACAAAGATTAGGTCCTTTGACAAAACCAATTAAATTAGTATCAAGTACACAAACACGTGCAATTGAAACTCTTTATAATATTCGTTTACAACTTAGTAATAATCTTCAATTTGAAACAACATTTATTCAAGATACTGGTCTTAGTGAATGCGTGTATAATTATATATTTAAAAAATTGATTTATTTAACAAAAAAAAAACTTATATCATTTTTTATTTTTCTTAGTGATTCAGCTAAACAACGTGTTCGTTGGCTTTATTTTGTTCGTGAATATTTACAACCACTTAAATCAAATCAACCTGAACATTCAATAACAATTATAGCTAGTCATGGAAATATTTTAACAGCGTTTAATCATATTATTAAAAATTTTCTTCTTAGACGAAGACCTCCGGCAACATTTCCAACATTTGATCTTCCTCAAGGAACTGGTTTAGCACATGGTGATACATTGTATTATTCTTCTAATGGAGCACAACCAATTCAGTTACAACAGATTATTCATATGAATGAAATTCCAATAACGGTCAATCATGCACACTTAAGAAAAGATTTTTATTATGAATGGGCTGCTATGCATCAATGCAGAGTAAGTGAAACGACAAAGGATCGATGATCTATCGCAAATCAACAGATCATTTTAGAATTAAGCTACAATCAGGCTAGATGCATTCAAATCATATGGAATTTTCAGCCCTATATCATGATGTTTTCATGAAATATTCAATAAATAAAGTTTAAATATAGTTCATTTAGTAATCGAAAATTTACTGTGTGCCTTCATTGACGGTTAAGGATGACGAGTTCAATAACTTAAAAAAGTGATGACGTATGTATACAAGACCTTTTTTTTATATATAAATAAGAGAGCTTGATTCAAAAACCGAATACTGCAGCTTTACATGTTCTTTTAAACAAACACTAATTAAATGTATATAATGAAGGCATATATAGAAATTTGAGATGAAATATAAACAGAGACAAAAAAATTCAAAAAGTATTTCCTGCTTTTTCTAAACGAAACAAAGATCTTTCAAGTAGGAAGTGATGAAAACCATCAAAAAAAGCGAACTTTCATGCACTTATTAGAGATGTATAGGCTAAGCTTTTCCCACACCCTGTAAAACATCTATTCAGTCCAGATTGTCGATATTTTTTTAGAGATGGAAGAGACTACAACTTCTGCAGAGAATGCTTGTATCCCAGGTCGCGTGTTTTCTTATTTTTATCTCACTTTCTTCCAGAGAACGTTTAATAGTGTCTCAAAGTTCGACTCCTGTCAAAAATTACTATAAAGTTGTTATAAGAAAAGGACAAAAATTATTACAAATTTCCGCAGGAAGTCGGATATTTCGAGAGGAGATAAACGATCTCCCTAATCAAGAACTCTGACCCAGTCAGACAGAATATTCTTACCTTGTCTTTTTTTAAATAATAACCTAATTGGAAGACTGTACAAGTAAGAAATAATATCGCACTATAGATGTGTAGGGTAAGTTTTGTTCATACTCCGCATCTTGACGAAGAAAAATTTCCTAATCCTTACTTAACTGTACTCTGCTGAGGGGAACGAAGTATTATATCTCCAACTCAACAACAGCATTATAAAAAAAGACTTGGATTGTTTCGAAATGTTTTAATGATTTGTACACATCGATAAGAAAAACTTATCAAAAGAAAAGCTGTATTATTAAGTGGCTCAGAAACAGATGGATTCTAATATATGAATTTTTCAACGAACTATTTAAAAACAACATTTTTGTATGAAATAAGATTTTGTTTTTTTTTTTGTTTCTCTCATTGTAAGTCGTATCATGGTCGTGCCAATATGAGAAATTATATTCAAGCAGGTCTCATTGATAATATATTTGGTAAAGATTATTTTCAAAATAAAATGAAAAACTATGAAAGTATTGTTTATATGGAATTAAAATATGAATATGCTACACATATATTACCTATGATGTTGTATACATGTCGTAGTTATCTTTATCGTCTACCTTTTATTCAAGCAAATACAGATTTTGAATCATTTAATCGTTTAATGTCACCTATACCTGTTCCAGCAACACTACAAGAACAAAGTTCAAGATTAACAATACCATTATATCAATTTAGTGCATATGGTATGCCATTTCGAGTCGATAATCGTATACAAAAGTTTCGAAAAAATCCAATAATAAGTCGACAATATGTTTCACCTGATAGTGTTCATCCAGAATCACGTATATTGCTTTTCTTAATTCGACATGATAAGTAGATATTACATAATATAGAACAAAAAATATTTTCTTTCTTTTTCCGATATTCTACGTCTTAATGTCAATACAGGTGATGAAAAAACATCATATTTAACACGTCTTGGTATTAATCAAATACGTGGTATTATGTCACAAATACATCATATCATTCATTTACATAAAGAAAAATTACCTGAAGACGGTCATATATTTCCAGTGACTATAGCAGCTGATCCAACAATTCAATCAGCTGAATCATGTTTTCATGTGCGAAGTCTTTTACTCAGTGCTAACTATACGGTATCAGAACAAGTTACTGATCTTGGACTTCAATATAATTACTTTGGAAAAAGTATGAACATTTTTTGCAGTGTAGTGGAAAAGCGTTGCTCTCTTCTCATATCTCACCTACTATACATACTAGAGATTTGAAAATCTATGGATATCTATTCCACTAACGAACAAAGGTCTCCAAGTGATAAATTACTTTCGAACTGGGACTATATTCTATCGATAGAGTCTAGTGAGTAGATAAATACTCGAGAGGGGTTCAAGTTGCTGAACTTTTGTTACTGAGATTTCGAATTTTTAATGAATGTGTGTTTAAGGCCTCAGTTTTCAAGCGAAGTTATACTTTTGCACTTGAAAACGAGGTTCCCATAGGAGAGACCCACTGAAAATTGGATATCTTAACAACAAAAGCCCCCATAGCTCGATTCACTCACTTTTGGATATTTATTTACTCACCAGCACCTATCGATTGAATATAGTTTCAGCTTAAAAGCAATTTGTCATTTGAGAAACGTCCTTCGTACACATGTAAATCTGAGATACGAGCTTATCTCAATTGTTTAGATGGATCGAGAATTATGATGAAAGGCAATGAATAGCATACGTTGAGCCTTTTAACTTCACAGCTCTAAAACAAAAAGAGGAACTTTGTGAATCAACCCATTTTTTATCATTGTGTGATTTGTTCAATTTAGCTACTGTATTATATAGTTTCATTGAAGTTCATCAATCCTTCATAGAATTATCATCATTTTTCTATCAATATTCTTAGGGGGCAAACTATCTGCTGGCTTTTTGAGACTATCACTTAATAATAGTTCAGTAAATCGACTTGAACTGTATACATAAACTTTGTCTATAGTTAGCGTATCATGAAAGAACCCTGCACTAAATGAAAATTCCATCCGAATACAGAGGACTCAGAGACAGTAATCTTCGATTAAATCAGCAATTCTTTTGACTAAAAGAAAACATAGACTAGATTCTACTTTCACGATAAAATATCAGTGATTAATCATGTACTTGATAACAGGTAACGAAAAATTTAGTAAACAATCTTTTTCGAAGCTAAAAGCTTGACGCAAAAGTAGGCGCTGTTTATCATAATTCTCGTTTTCTCTAAGGATACACCCTTCTTTGTTGACCATTTCCAGTTTTCGAAAACAGTACAATCGGTCTACTTGAAATTAACTGGTTCTCCATCGGGCTGTATCCTAGCTATCCAAGACATTTCATCTAACTTTATGCCATCGGACTGAAATTTTTACCACTGATACTTGGAAAAATTCTTCAGAGGTGCAATCGATCTTTTTCATTTTTGACTTTTCTATCCAAAATTACAAGATTAATAAAAGCCAAGACCTCCGTTTTAGCATCGAAACTTTACGTATTTTTCTCATAAAATTTTGGAGAAGCTTAAGATTACTTAGTCTTAGAAATCTAAGATTTGCTAACGGATCTTATGCAAATAGTATATGACCCTCCATATGAAAACCAGAGTTTCTTAGATAAATGCCACAAAAACCTATTTCAAAGATTTTTCTTGAATACGAGTCTCTTTATTTTCGGTGTAAAAAATCCAACTTGATCAGTCGTACCGCCTTCAAGAATCAGAAACGGTCAAAAAAGAGGAGCGGAGTATTCTTAAGTAATTGGGACGATCCTGTGCTTTTGAACTAAATTATTTGTGTAGTATATGCATACTAAGTTTCAAACCATCAACATGTATAGTAGCTGAGATGTGGAAGGCGAAAAACTTTTTTCCAGAGATCTTTTTATTAATTCTTTTTAAAAAACACAAGTTTTGTTTCTTTGAAGAAACTACGGCTGATATGATTGATTTTCAACGAGTACAAGCTCTTTATATGTTACGTCATTATCTTATACCAGATGAAACTGATTCAAAACGTCCATCATTACAAGTTCATATTTTGTGTGGTGATGGTCGTTTATTTACAGCATTTCGTCAAGAAATGGCTTTAAATAATCTTCTTATTGAACCACATCAAAGATTTTCAACACTTAGTGATCCTTATTATAATGCATTGAAACATGGCAATGCATTATTCTTTGAAGCTATTGGTCATGAACTATTAAAACTTCATAATGCTTTAGATTTACTAGGATCAAGAAATATATCTGATGAACAAAGAATAGCAACGGATCAACCACTTCAATTGACAGCACTTGATTTACAATATTGGTTTCGAAGTCGATATGGTCCTTGTACATTAGATTATTTTCTTCAAAATAAAGAAACCTTATCATTATCAGTCACCAATACAGGTTCCATGTATCAAAAATATATTGCTCGAATAATTCGAAAAGAATGGAATCCATATCTTGCTGGTAGTATAATATACATTTGTTGTTTCTATTTTTTAATGAAAAATAAAAACATTTTTGTAGGATTATTTATTTATTCATGTCGTCTTCAACTTACATTAACAAGTGGTTCTAATCAATGTGAACAACAACAAGCAGCAGGAGCCGGAGCTATTGCAAATGAAGCTGTTGCCCAATGTCGAGAGCAAAATACAGCTAGAGGAGGACCTTTTGGAAATTGTAGCTAAATGAAAAGTGCTTTAATGATACGTTTCTTTTCGGTTTATTTATTTATTTTATTTGTATGAAATTTTTCGAGAATAAATTAATTTAAAAAAAAATTGTTCGGATCTCTCTCTCTTTTTATATATTATAAAATTAAATTTGCATGTCATTATTGTTCGTGGTTCATTATATAGTCGAGACCGGATACATCGATTTTCTCACGACATGATATGTCCTTCAAGTTCGACGACAAAAAAAGAAAAAGAGTTGTTATTGTTGTTGTTAAATGATATAATCATGAGGCAGTAACATGTTAGCCAATTTTCTGAACCGATTACATCAATATAAACAAAAGTATCTTTTTGCAATTGTGTCAATTTCATACTCATCATTCTTCTTTTTTTTCTCACTATCACATCTGTTCGCTATATGACATAAGGAGTTAAGACATGTTCAAGTATTTGCAGCCATCGTCCATGCAATTATTATCTAGTTAACATACATACACGCATTCTCTTTCATTCACTTACTAGTCGTGCAATCGACATTGGAAACGAAATGCAAATTTTGTTTGACAGAGATTAAAATTAGGTCATCATATGACATAAAGAAAGGACCTTTGCTTGATTATCATCATCAACATCATTCGATGAACAGCATACAGTACTTTTGAAGTGACCTTTTCTCTTTCTTTTTATTCTATTCATGATCTATGCTTTCACATAATCAAGAGCAATCTGTCTGTATATAAGTGAAATTGAAAATAATGAATTTTATATTATTTCAATTAGTCTTTATGTTCAATGAGTTTTGACTAGACGATAAAAACATGGTCCGTTTTTGTTTCTTTTTTTTTTCATGAACAAAAGAGATTCATTTTTCTGATAACATATATGAGATGGCACAACTCACGTACACGTGGATGATTTTTTCTAATTAATGTCGTCGACAGTCATTTATCCATGCTTGACCGATTTGTCAAGGATCAGCTTAATGGACTATTTGAGAATATAAGATCTTTTGTTCATTTGTAGACATTCAAATAATTCATGTGTTTTTTCTTTCATCTGACATTTTATTAATTTTCTATACATACTGTTCATGAAATATCGTTTCTCTTTTTTTTCTAACACTTATAAACAATAAAAAAAACAAAAAGAAAAAATTTTATTGAAGAAATTTTTCGATTAGAATCATTGGATAATAAAGCACTTGCACGTTGATCTGTTAGAATATCTAAAGCAAAACAAATTTTTTACTCGAATATAATCAATCAATTTTACCTTTTTCAACAATAACTTTTGCAGTAAGTCGTTGATGTTTATAAACACATGTCCATATACCTGTATGATATATTTGTGCATGATTAATAATTAAATGTGAAGTTAAAATATTATTAAATAATTTTTTTTTAATATGTACATCATGAGGTTTTGTTTTATTTAATTGATTTGATAAAAAATGCCATGTTATTGATGATCTATTATAATCAATATCATTCATTAAAATACTACAATTTAATTTAATATTTGTATTTGGTTCTACATAAATATGTGTAGGATGTATAATCATTGGTATTTGTATATGTAAATGTATATATATACTAACACTTGCTTTTCGATTAGTAATTTTACATATATATGTACCTTCATCAGATAGTTTTATTTGATAAATTTCTAATGACCAAAATGAATCTTTTATTGATGTTGAATAAAATGATATTGAATAACGTTTATCAGTTGTAAATAATTGTTTCCCAACAACTAATGGTGATGATATAGATGTATATGGATCTATTTTAAACCACGTTACATGATATTCACCTAAATCACGTATATGACAAGTCAATATAGCTGTAGAAGATAAATTTAATGTTTGATTATGTGTTTCAGTAATGATTTGTGGAAATATCTTATTAGCTGTTGTTATTTGTATCATTAAAATAACTGAAGAAAGGAAAAAAAAATAGTTTTTATTCATCAAGGAAATTCAAAGCTTTTTCTCTTGTGGGAATAACTTACGGAGAATAAATAAAAAAATATGTTTAATAATGATAAGAATATTGTTCATTGTTAAAGGATTGAAAATCAAACATCACTTGTATTTTTAATTGATTTTTTATTTGATATCACGTATGATATTTGTTTATGTTCGATTGTGTAATAAGGCAACTGTCGTTTTCTTTTATAACTAGAACATGTTGGTACTAGTAGATCAATGAAACAACGTATACAAAAGAAGACGATTGTAGATTATGCTTCTTCTCTCTTTATAACGATAAGGGAAAGGCGACATGGAAAGAGAAGGAGAGCGAAAGACAGAGAGAGAGAGAGAGAAAAGAAAAATAAACTTAGACTAATGGAATTAGGAATAAAGAGAAAAGATATCTAGTTTAGCTATGACGATTAAAGCTGGTGAAACAGAGCGACTTACACAAGAACAATAAATAGAATATTTATTGCCTCTTGTTCAAAAGGGATTTTTAGATAATCAAAAGAAAGATCAAACAGGGTGCATACAAATAGAATAATGACACTTTTCATTGTTTCTCAATTTTTTAACATAAACGATCTTTTACCAGGTGATTTTATCATTGAATAGATCACACCATCACATACTTCATTTTCTTCATGCAATTAGTTTTCCTACTGTGCGTGAGTGAAGTGACAAATACACTTATTACTTCTGATTCTACTGGTACTCTAGAAAATAAAGAGAAAATGAGGACGCACTATCGCGAATGCATGTCTATTCGAGTCAATTCGATTTTGACGCTCTTGCACTCACTCTTTGACTCATACCAATAGCAGTGCCTGTCACTGACATACTAAGTTATTGAGAATCATCATATGACAACGTCAAATTGATTTCTTCTATGAAACGTTCTTTTATCATACTTACTCAAGGAAAAAAAACAAATATGATTATACATGCTTACAGGTTATACCTTATAGCGACTAGTTCATAATTAAAGAAGTGTTGAACGATGAATAGCAAATCAAGGTTCTTTTTTTTTCTTTTCACTTTGATTCTTAAGCGTCAATATTAATAATAGATCAATAGCTCAAAGACTGTCAATAAAGAAAAAAATAATTACATAGCTGGTATTATTTTTTTATTTGTTTGCAATTTCGATAAGACTTAAACTCGATCAATAGTAATAACAAAATAGAAATATCAAATACTCTTTATTGGCATGTGCAAGACATTTGTGATGGTGATCAAGCACGTCAAAGAAACTAATGTGAACAAGATGAGCATAAACATTATACAGAAAAAAAAAAGAGAAAATGTAATATAGGATGATCAATGGTCAAGTATTATTCTAGTCTAAACCGATAAGAGACATGCCATATTGTACAGTGTATGATCTCTTGAGAAGTTATATTGTCTTGTTTTTGTTACGGATGATATAAACAACAGATTGAATTTAATTAGATTGAGACGTTCCTGTATCGTAGAGAAATATCTCATAAGAAAAGAAATATCATATATAGAAATGAGTGTGTGTTTTTCTTCTATAGAAATACATCAGTTTTGTAGAATGTATTAAAGCGATGATTTCTGCATGACAAGAAGTGAACTATTATTAATGGTGAAGCTTCAATTGAATGATATAGTCACTCATTACAACGATGTCTAAAATGACCTTTTTAATCATTCAGACAAATATTTTCCTCTTAATTTAAAATGCTCTAAAGTTGTCTGGTGACATTTAATTGGTCATATATTTTAGTAGAAACAAAATGAAATTAATTTTCAACGGAAACTGATTTTTGTTGTGTCTTTAATAAGGTTATTCGAAAATGATAAACAAGGAATCAAATAAGATATTGATTATGCATCGTTTGACATCATCGAATTGATTTGATCTCGTTTCATCGATACTTTTTATTCAGTAGTATTTTATGAGAAAAAAAAGTTCATCTTTGTATGAAAGAAAGTTATTGTGATGATTCAATAGTTCATAAGAGAATAACAACAAAATGTTAATGTAAGTTTTTATCAATTTTTTTTTATCATCAAATTTACTATAAATGAAAATGAATATGAATGTGCCTTCTCATGAGATCTTCTTTTCACTCACATCCATAAGTAACTGTTGAGTAGCTTTAAATATTGTTCTATATTCTCGTTAAAATGTTACAACTACCAGTGGCTTGCAATGAAATGCTTACTGATTACCAACTGGTTTGCATTAACTATATCAAACAACAGCTTCAAAAGAACAACAAATTCGCGACAAAAATATAACCCGCAAGACAGTCTACTGATATGTCTGTTTAGCATTTCTATATCGAAAACTCAACCGAGGAATAAGGATAGAAAATGTTAACATTATCTTCAAAATTTCAATGATTATCATCGATTTACATCAGAAGCTCGCTCAATTGTTTGAATATATGATCTATACGAAGGCATTGTAAATAGTATGTCGAGGTTAACATCTGATACTTTCAAAAACGGAGAAAATATGCAGTTATATCAGTGATCTCATTTCAATCAACAGTTTCGTGTAAACTACTAGTAATAAAAAGATAGCGTATAACTTTCTTCTAACGTTCAACGAAGAGCAAACAATGGAAACTCTAGCAATTTTATTTAAATTGATGCTTGGTATTGAAACTGTTCAAGAAATGAACATACTATTTTTAGACATATGCAATCTAAGTTCATATGAATATGAAGAGAGAATTTTGTTAAATATATTTACAGAATGTTGGATTAAAAAAATCAATCAGCAGTCATATGCACAAGTTATGGTGATCATGTACGACCATAGGTTTTACTTTTCAATTATCTTCATTGTTTGGCTTTAGAAGTTATTAAATATGTTCTAAATGTAATTATCTGTGTCGAAATCGATAAAACAAAACATCTCTTGAATGTTTTTATTTCAGTTTTCTATATGATAATGATCAACAGCAATGTATTTTGAATGCATTCAATATTCTCTTAGTAAAGCAAGGTCAAAGATGTTTTGCTTTTCTTTCAATAAAAGTATAATTATGTTTTATTTGATAACAAACCAGTTTTTTTCATTTTGAATCAATGGATAGGCTCACTCTCGTTTTTGATTTTACAATTGAGACATACGACCTTTCAAATTTCTATATACTTTAGAAAAGTATCTTATAGTTCTAACTGAACGAAAGTTCATGTCTAATAGACATATGTGATAGAGCATATTATGAAATATATTTTTGAAAATTCACAAAAAATTGAACCAAACAATCGTCTTTTTTTCGATACTTTTTCATCAATATCACTTGCATGCATTTTCAATGAAGTAAAAATAAAAAAAAATAAAGTTTTCAATAGAAGTGTATCTGCTCAATTATGTTTTTATTCGAGCTCAACTAACGTGGCCTGATGGTCTAATGGTATGATTCTCGCTTTGGGTGCGAGAGGC